AGAAAACCCCTTCCATAGACACCATCTTGTGATAAGGTATTGTGGAATTTTCTGAGACTCTACATAGAATCACCATGGATCAACCAGCTCCAGGATCCTATGGCCACCAATGCTGCCAAGCTCACATACCACAAAGATCAACAAAACACTGCTATTGGCTATCTATTATTTTGATAAACTTGTGGCACAAGACTTCTACAACCAGCCACAAATGATGCTAGTCGGAATATGAGTCTAATAAACTGGCACTGTGTATATTTCTTTGGCACTGGGTCTATTCCAGAGGTTCCATCTGCAGGTAGGCCTCTGCCCAGGGGCATTAAGACCTGCCCAGATTTAGAATTCACTTGCCTATCACTAAATCCTCAGACCAAGTACTATACTTACAAACCCACATACCCCAGCTAATAGTTTCTTCTTCATGCTATGCTGCCCAAGATTGGGGTAGTGTTAGTGAAGGCAGTTCTTTAGGTAGACTCATGCTAAGCTGGGTTGTATGTTAATCTCACAACTACTAGAACTTTCACAGTCCCATGGGTGCACCATAGCTAGTGGTGACTGGCCTAAACATGAGTCTGTCCTACTAAGTAGTTTCCTCCCAATACCAGGGCAGTTCTATAGTTCTATCTTCTAGCATTGGCTTTGCAATAAATGTGCTGCCTGAGATTGGGTATAAGATAGTGGAGAAAATCTTTGGCCATCAGAGCTAATGCTAAGCTGTATTTCACCTGAGTTTCCCAATTTCAGGGACCTGCACAGTGTAATATGGATGCGGGAAAGGAAATGTGCCTCATGCTCATTCCAAGTCTACAAGTGATACAGGACAAAACTTAAGTCAGTCCCAGGCATTTCCTGATGTGAGGACAGGTCTATCTATTCCATCTTTGAGCTCTGCCTTACAGAAAGTGCTAGTAGCTGTGAGATTAACATACAACCCAGCTTAGCATCAGCCTACCTAAGGAACTGCCTTCAGTTTCTACTTAGTTAAGGATCTCATCCTAATGGACCTGGTACTGAGCACCAAGACAAAATTCTATTTTAGCTTTAGTTTCCTGTTCCCAGTGGTAGAATCTTGCTTCTTGATGTACTATCCAAGATTGGAGAAAGGGTGTTGGAAGCTGTCTCTGCCTACTAACACAATTCCAGCAGTTTAGTTCATAGATATTATCCTGGTAGCAGGTGTTATAGGCCTCTCCCTGGCAATGGGTCTCACTGCAGAGGACCTGGAACTAGCTGGGTTTCAAGCCTAAGACCTGAATTTAATTCCCTCTTCTTCCTTCAAGCATGTGGCATCTCTACACACTGCTATATTGCTTGGATATGGAGATGAGATGATATGGGCAACTTCCTCCTGCCTTCTCAGTATATCTTTCCATTTTGTTATACCAAAAGCAGGCACTATGATCATTCATCTCATTCCCTTAGCTATTGCTAAGGTGCTTTGGTGCTTGAATAACACTTCCATTTGTCATGCCTATGGGTAGATGTTCACTGGAGGATATTACTCAGCTACCATCTTACTCCACCTGTGAGATGAATTACATTTTATGAAGCTTATTTGAGCAAGGAGAAGATTTTAAAACCAGATAGAATTCCTAACTAAAGTTGGTTGTTTCAGAATACCCCACTCTACTACATCTGTAGGCTGTGTTTATTTCTACAGAAAAGGAAGTGACAGTGAGATACAAAAACAATTTGATTAGTCACAGTCAGCATCTGCCTAATATGGACATGGTGGATTTAGCTGGCATACTGTGAACTGTTGAAACTTGATTCCTGTGACTGGCTGAAAATTAGACATCTGATACAAGAATATCCCCTTAATTAAGTTTGCAATTTGTTTACATACTGAGTTATGATGCAGTTTGTTACATGTGGAGGCAGCTTTAGGCTAAAATTTAATACAGAAGTACAAAATCAGACTTAGGCGGAGCTTATCAGCTTAAAAGTTTATTTTATTAATACTGAAGACATCTTGGAACAAGCCATAGAAATTGTCCATAAAGCCTAGAATCTTGAAGATGAAAGATCCTGCCAGGACAAATGACAAGACATTAGGTCTCTTTGCTACTAAAAGTTGAAATAGCAATGTCTGCATCAAGCCAGGCCCTAGATGTGCCATACTTCTAGTGAACTAGAATGACCCTCACTGTTTCAACAAAAGACAAAAAGTTCTCCCAGAGAAGCCCAAAGACTCCATAGCACATGGGTTTGTAGGCTAAACGTATAATACCACATGGTAACAAAAATAACACCAGTGAATTTAAAGTGAGTGTATCCTTGGGTATAAGCAGATGCAAAAGCATTCTTATGGAAGCTTTTTACAATCTAGGATGTACAAGATACCTCAAAAATACTCATTGTCTGCTAAAATATACACAAGGATCATACCAAAACATCTACAGCACTTCGAATTGCTTTAGCTAAATATACTGTTTAAAAAACCTTCAAAAATGTGAAATCACAATTGAGCAACTAGTCTCAATATCTTCTGAAATGAATAATAATGTCAAATTTTTATCATTTAATAAAAAAGAATATATAAGATTATTTTTAAGGGCCAGGTACACTTAATAGGTAAAAGAAAACCTCATAGGTAGATACAGTAAAGAATTCTAAAGACATTTCGTTCAGTTCAATATTTTTATTTTTGGTATAGATTGTTAGCTTTTTGTTGTTTTAATTTTTTATCCTTCTTGTAATTATGAAATGCTTTTTTACATGAAACCAGAAACTTATTTGAGGAACTACATGAGCTTTTTTTGAGCCACAAATACTCTATAAAGTTTGAGAAAATGTTAATTTTTATATTCTTTAGTCTCATTCTGATATTTTATGAGATACCGATTCAATAAATATTATCAGAGTGTTATGGTTTGGATATGAGCTGTCCCCCAAAGCTCATATTAAGCAATATAAGAATGTTTGGAGGTGAGACGATTAGTTTTTGAAGGCTGTAAACTAGTGATTCATCTAATCTAGTTTTTAGATTAATAATTTGGAAGGACTACTGTACTGGTTAGTAAATATAGTCAGGCAGGGCACTGCTAGAGGAAGTAGGTCATTGGGGGTTTGCCTTTGAGGATGATATTTTTTCCTTGGCTCCTCTTTTTCCTCTGTTCTCTGGCTTCCATGAGTTCAGCACTTTTCCTCTGCCTGACCTTGCACCATGATGATCTGCCTTGCCTCAGGATCAGAGAGATTGAGTCAGCCAACCATGGACTGAGACCTCTCAAAACATGAACCAAAAATATTTTTTTTCCTTATCTAAACTGTTCTTATTATGTATTTTGGTCACAGAGATGTAAAGCAGACTAATATACAGTGTAACATAAATAATATTTCAGTGAATGATAGCCTTTAATAGCTCATTGCTTTCTTTCCTCCCAAATTTTAAGTAGTATACACCAAAAATACAAAAAATTCCAGTAAATTCTAATAAAAAATACTAAATGTCTGTGAGATTTGTGTGAATGATAAAATAAACTTCATTATAACAATTAGAAGGTTTCATATAATTAAAACAGAAGTCCTTGGAATTAGGCTCCTTGAGCATGGTGAGTGCATGCTGAAGTATTTTAGATATACTCCATGGGCCTCCTTTGAAAAAGGCCATGTGGATACTTGTAATAATTTTTTGATATAATATCAAGTGGAGTAAGACTACCAACTATGTAATTATAACCATACAATAGTTTTCTTTATAAAGAATTTATTAAAATATTTCAAAATTTTCAGGCTTCTGCTAGAACTACCATATGTGCCTTGAAAATAAAAATATGTTGGCTAAATCTTGCCTAAAATAAATATTCAATTCTTCATTGAAAATTTTGTGGAAAATATCAAATACTTAATTTTACATTTTTCCTTTACTGTTGTTTTAGATCCCTGTGCTGTCCCCTTTGTGTTAGACGGAACCCCTAACCAGACAGTTTTAGGGAGATGAGCCATCATAAAGATGTACTTTTTATATTATGTATATATTATTATATTTCAAGTTCTTAGATGCACTATTTTGTTTTAAACTTATGAAGTAGATAATGATATTCCCATTTTACGAATAAGAAAACTTAATCCTTGTTGTTGTTGTTCTTATTACATTTCATAATCATTCATCAGCATTTCTGTCAACCGTCCACCATGTTTTTACCAGAACCAGTCCATCACTTCTTTCCACTTTCCCCATGACTGTCACTACCACTACCACTCACATGTAATCATTTTGTATCTTCCATGACTATTTTAAAAATACCTGCCTAAGGTAGTTGTCATTATTTCCCCTGCTTTCCTTTCTCCTAGTCATTTCATTGTCATTATACTAATCCTTATCTATGGAGACTTTGTAAGATATAATTCAAAAGTTTCTCAGCCCTGCCACAATCTCACAAAATGCTATAGTTTCCTTCACAGCACTTATCAATTGCTTGATATACCCTTATTTGTTGATATAGACTTCATTTCCCCCCATTATAATAAAAGCATGGATGTTCCGATTTCTCTTGGAAGGATGCCTGGTCTGAGGTGATCTTCAACCATTGTGTGATGAATAAACCAGTAAATGAATGCACCTCAAATATCTCCTAATTCAGGAAATATTCATTGATCAAAATGACTATGCCCCTCTCTCAAGCTGTATTTACAATTGAATATACATTGCCATCTCTTTATTGCATGCTGATTCAAGGGGTTGGAATAAATTTCCCTCAGTAAGATGATCTTTGAGAATAAGGAACTGTCTCATCTTTTTATTTTCATGTTGTAATGCTGAGTATCTAACCTATATTCAGTACACATTGGAAGTGAAATAATAAAGCATCCCTAAGAAATATCCAAATCTTCCTGTAGCCATGAAGCATAACAATTCTTTGAATGCAATGTGCTAAATTAAAACATAGATAGACTTGCAATCTCTGTGGTACTTATAAAGTCTTTTGTTATTTGAGCTTTGTCTGATAGTTAAATAATATGTATCTTTCAACAACTGAATTTTGTGTTTTCAGAGATCATCTATAGCTGGGTGTTTAATGAGTTCCCTTCTTTTGTGGCGGAAGACAGCCGGCGGTTCATTTCCCAGGAGACAGGCAACCTTTATATTTCTAAAGTGCAAACCTCAGATGTCGGCAGCTATATTTGTCTGGTGAAAAACACAGTGACGAATGCTCGAGTACTTAGTCCTCCAACACCACTCACTCTACGAAATGATGGTAAGTTGCGTGGCCCAGAGGAAAATGGTCGGCTGTCTCACATGTGAAAAACAGATATTTAGTGTTCTCTAAGCATTTGACCTAGTACAAACAAAATAAAAAGGCATTCACCATGGTTAGAAACTCAGCATTTTTATTCTGAGGTTATGCATACCTTAGAAGAAAAATTTTGATATGGGAAAGTGATGATCCATGGATAAAAAATATTCATTATAATGCTACTGTAATTCCAGAAAGAAAGAGAGAATCTGAGAACTGTCATAAAGAGACCACAGTTCTTTTCTTTCCACTTTAGTGCCTCCATATAGCATATGTATATGAATTGTAAGCTTTTTATGGGTTCAGTTTTCATTACATTTTTATTTTAGCTGCTTTCAAACTGAATGTTCAGCTTTTAATACTTCATAGTACAATTATAATTGTTATTATTACTTTTTCAATAATAGGAACAGTTGGAACTTTAACTTTTAAGTGCAATTCAGGCAGATATGATGATGCTATAATTATAGGTATTGCCATCTATCTAAAGTATCTTCACATTTAAACACCTCATTTGTATTTATAGACATTTATAGTGAAGCATTGCATTAAAGAAGTCAAATGCTGTATTACAGTTGATATATGATATGCAACTTGCTCTATCATGCAACCAAAAAAAAATCTATGAAGGCATTATTAAGTGAGCTGAGAACTGATTGATTTTGAAATTTTAAAAATAATCTATCTCAATGCTGTTCTTTTACATACTTGGTTTTAGACTATGTTTGCTGCTGGAATCTATGACTAAAGTTATATCACTGATTTTTTTTACTATTTAGTGTGTCTTTAGATATATACACACTCATTAATGAAGTTTATGAGACTCACTAAGCTATAAGTATACATACACACACACAGTATTGTAGACTCAATAGATTTTAGTAGCCTTAATGGATAAAGTACAAATAAAATATTCATTTTAAAGAGGAGAAATCTAACGCTGGAACATTAGAGAGAAGATGAGTCCTGCTAAAGCCCACACAGGATACTGTCATGGATGAACAGGTGGGAAACATGAACAGGGACTGGCAGACCAACCCAGAGGCTACTGAAACTAAATAGAGGTGGTACGGGATGGAACGAAAATAGTGATAGTAACCTTGGAGGGTAAGAAAGATGACTGAGGTATTAAGTGGGTAGAATTATCAGGATTTGAAAACTAAACATGGTTCTCTGGACTGCAGGGAGATACTGTATAAGACAATTTCAAGGTACTGGCATACTTTAATGAGTGGGTGTAGCTTCTTCACAAGAGGCAGGTGGAGGAACAGATTGCTGAGTGGGTGAACATGAGGCATTTTGTTTTGGATACGATAAGGTGAAGTATCCACAGAAAATCTCTGTGGAGCTATATAGTAGGCATTCCAATATATGTTCCTAATATCCATAAGACAGCTAGGCCAGGTAAAGAGATTTAAGTGTCACCATTGTGTGTTCCATCATTCTAGTTGAAGTTCTGAGTGTGTATATATTTTGCTTACTTCAAATTTATTTTTCCAATTTATCTAATCAACATCTTGGAATTGATTTGCTTCTCTGTGAGCTGTTTTCATAAAATTTCAGAGCACTCTTTCATTAATCCTTTAAGAATTTAAAGCATCCTTACCTGAGAATTGTAACATTCTTCTCTGTGAACAATTAATTCCATTTACACTATTCATTTATATATAATTACACCTTGCAGTTGGTTCAGGCCTGAGGTTGGAGAATCTTTTCCGCCTTCTTTTCATACAACAGACCTCTTATTACACATGCCAGTTATAAAAATAACACATAGATTAGTCAGAACTCCAAAACTAATACTACCTTTACTAGTTAGTTAAAAGTTTCAATGTCCATGGGTAACTTTTAATTCATGGCCCAAATGTGTCACTTAACTTTACCTTCTACCTTCTATACTCAAACATTAAAGAGTAATCCTTTACTGATATTTAAAATACTCTATTCCTTCCAACTTTTGTTTCTTTTGTTTGGCAAACCTCTGATCCCAATGAATTCAACTGTAGTCTTATTCTGACTGCTTCAAAAGTAACACCCAACTGTGGATTCATGATCACCAATTTGAAAGGTGCTACTCAATCCCATTAAATTGGATGATTTAATCTACTATTTTGTCAAAAAGCTTTTGGATGCTTCTCTGCTTTCCTTCAAATGGGCAGTTCCCCTACTACCACTTCACAGAACTATTTAAGTTGTCAACCTCATCTTCCTACTAACACAGTTCAAATCTAACTAATTGCATCTTCATCCACATCATTATTCCCCAACCCATTCTTTCTCAATAGAGATATTCATCCTGCTAGAACCAATCCCCAATCCATCCTCTACTGGTGGTTTTCATTCCCTCCGTTTAGTCAGAATAATGCACTATTAGTCATTGTTTCTTATATAATAAATGCTATGTCACCAGACATGAATAATTTTAGTTGTCAAATGAATTGAAATAATTGCAATAATCAATATTGTTTATTTTTAATAAATGTCTGTATCTTCAACATTATTTGAAAAATACAGTGACATGATTAATAAGTGCAGCAAAAATAAGTAAAACAACATGGTGATTTCAAATTTAACTGAAAATAAACAAGTAGAATAAATCTACTAAGTTTCAGTTATATCACTCAGGGACAGTCTTATTTTTTACCAGAGAAGATAGGTAATCTAAAGAAATAAGAAATATGAATTTTCTAAGTCTGTTGTTTCCTTGGCTGTTGTCTATTAATATCTTTTTTATCATGTTAAAACATCCCTATTGAATGAATGTAGCAATGCAGAGAAACAAAAAAACCATATTGATCCCTCTCCCTGTCCTTAAAAGTCACTCTTTAGTGTTTCATTTTTTAGGAAAAAAAAAGTTATTTTTAATTCACATATTTGAAAACTTTCATGTAATGCTAGAAAAATACCTTGGTATTTCTTGGTTAATCAATTTTAAATAATAGTTGTTTAATCCCTCAAATAAGTATGCAAACACTGCTTCTGTTCTCCTGTCACATGTTCATATATTCTTTTTAAAAAAATTCATTCTATTTAGTTATACGTGGCAGTAGAATGCATTTTCATACATCATATATAAATAGAGTACAACTTCTCACTTTTCTAGTTGTACATGATGTGAAATCATACCAATCATATATAATCATATACACACATAGGATAATAATGTCCAACCTCATTCTTCTATCTTCCCAACCCCAAATCCCCTCCCCTCCTCAAACAGGGTGTACACTCCTATATGTCATGTTCAGATATTTTCATAGTTTTTCTGTTGCTTCCCTTTTAGATTCAATAATGTATGAAATCTTTGCAGTTTTCATACTTTTCAAAACAAATTTTAATTTCTTCATAAATTAGAAAAATTTTATCCCTACTTTTTACTACTCCTTCCCTCAACTACTTTTATCTTCTTTTGCCTTCTACTTTTGCTTCTACATTATCATCAAATACAACAAAGTCTTATATGCTTCCCCATCAACCGATTCTGGAAGCTAATAGTCAGTAGATATTTAAAAGTTAGTACTATGTAACAATTCAGTATCATATTACTCCAGATTTTCAGTCGTTTTCTAGATATTGATGCTATACCAGATGTATTTTTCCTAATACGTAAAACTTAGAATTAAGTATAACATAATGAAAAATCAAACTATAACAATAATAAGATTGTAATACACTTGGCATATAGTAGAAAAACAATAAGTAGTTCCAATAAAAGTGTTCAGATGTAAACAAAATTCATAGCAACAAGGGTGATAATTGAACAGTGGTGTGGGTGAGAAAGCACATGGAGACAGTAGGAAATGAGAAAATATGTAACACTTCGGGTCAAGTCTTGAAAAAGCCAGACAACTTGAGGAGGGTAAATAATGAAATACAGTAAAATATAATAAGAAGACACAGAGAAAATAGGAAAAGGAGTAGTGTCAAGAAACCAGAGGAAATGTTTAAGTGAGGGTGTGGGCATAGACAAGCAATTGAAGAACAGAGTGCGCACACCTGCTTGTGTCCCTTCTGACACCCTACAGCAAGAAATCTATATCATCCATGAGAAAAGTCTTGAGGAGGAAAAGGTATCACCAACACATCAGACATGTTGATATATTTCCAGACAAATGAGGAAAGATGTGAATTAAAGGATTAAAACAGTAGAAAAAAATGAAATCTAAATAAAATTTAAAGGATAATCAAAAGGAGTTGACAACCATGTGCTGGATAGAAGTCTGAAAAACTGAAATCAAAGTTAGCAATGAGGATGGATGGAAGAAATGGGACTTAAACTAAGGGGGATAGGTAGAATGGACAAGTCACAGTAAAATGTTAGAATCCCTTCTGTATCTCTATTTGCAAAAATTCAAAGGATCAGTTTCAGTAAACTGAAGCTAAAGTGTTTGGTTTTTTGTTGTTGTTGTTGTTTGTTTGTTTGTTTATGTGAGTGGCAGGAGAGTGAAAAACCTTTTCCTGACATTTGGGTACCTACTTCCTGATAGCAAACTCCCTGCCCTCTCAATTTAAGCAGAACATGAACATGAATACACTCACTAGTGTGTCTACAGACACACCATGCAAGAACCCAATACCACTTTCCAAATTTCTCAGATTTAATATTTATATGCAATTCAAAGTTAGCCGTTACATTTAAAAATTACTAAGCATATTGGTTGATTACAGAATTCTAAGATGATGCGTAAAAAGCAAGAAGCTCTTAAGATGTGTGTCTTAAGATAACTATAACAAATTAGACGACAATCATTTTTAATTTAAAAACTTTCATTATTTTGTCTCTCTTTAAAATAATGTAATCAGAAAGGGTATTCATAAAAAGGACACTATCCTGAACATTTTCCCAAGTAGGTAGCATATATTAAACACTTATTCTGAAAATAGAAATAGAATGATTGTGGATGAATCCCATTTATTGCACCATAGTCAGCTGAAATTCCTGCTGGGTCTTACAAACTTCT